CAATCAGCGGAGGGCGCGCACCGGCAACAGAGTCAGGCTGCGTTGGCCGGCGCTTCTGAACGAAGGAGGATGGCCCCTAGTGGCTGTGAGAGGGAATGCAACCTGATGTTCCCCTTCTCCCGAGTTCTTACTGCGTCGCCCGATGCTTGGTCTAGACAGACATGTCTCAGTGAGACGAAGGGATGGGTGGAAAGCCAGAGGAACAGGCAAAGGCAGAATTTGTACCATTGCACCTCCCTGAGGGCAAAGCCAGGTCTTCTGTTTATTTTATAGAATAAAACGGAGTATGATATACCAGAGACCAATAAATGTAGGTTGAAATGTAAACAAGCCGGGAGGGCTGACTCACGCCTGTAATTTCAGCACTGTGGGAGGCTGAGGCAAGAGGATTGCCTGAGCCCAAAGGTTCGAGACCAGCCTGGGTAACTTCGTGAGACCTTGTCTCTACAAGAAATTAAAAAATTAGCCAGGCGTGGTGGCACATGCCTGTAGTTTCAGATACTTGGAAGGCTGAGGCGGAAAGATTGCCTGAGCCCTGCAAGTCGAGGCTGCGGTGGCCGTGAGCATGCCACTGTATTCCAGCCTGGGCGACAGAGTAAGACTCCAATTCAAAAAAAAAAAGGAAGAAATGTAAACAGATGTAAAAAGCAGTAATAGGGAGGCTGGAAACAAAAACAGACAAAAAGAGAAGCAAAGGAAAAATTAAGGGAAGCAACAGAGAGACAGACTTATGGAAGATGCAAGAAAATAGATGGACATGAGACTGGACAAGTTGATTCCTCTCTCCACACCCTGCTTTTTCTGTATCCTCCAGACTTGGAACCAGACAAAATTAGACTTAAATCCTGGCTTTACCTTTAATAGCTGGGTAGCCTTGGGCAAATCACTTAACTTGCCTGAACTTCCATTTTTCTCCACAGTGTGAGTGGGATTAAAACTCTATAAGGTCCAGGCACAGTGGCTCACGCCTGCAATCCCAGCACTTTGGGAGGCAGAGGTGAGAGGATTACCTGATCCCAGGAGTTTGAGACCAGTCTGGGCAATATGGCAAGACCTCATCTCTACAATAAATTTAAAAAATTAGCCGAGTGTTGTGGTGCGAGTGTTGTGGTGCTTGCCTGCAGCCCCAGCTACCTGGAAGGCTGAGGTGGAAGCATCACCTGAGTCTAGGAGGTCAATGCTGTGGTAGCCATGATCGTGCTACTGCACTCCAGCCTGGGTGACAGAGTGAGACTCCAACTCAAAATATATATATTTATAAAAGTTGTTTGTAATTGTAAAGTGCTTTAAAAATATTAAATATTATTGAAAATAATCATAATTATTATTAAATAAATCAAATACCATATAGTGATTACTTCCCATATGCTATAGGATAATTTTTAAAATAAATATTAATATACTATGTGGCAGTGAGGTTCACAAGGAATAAGTACAAAATACATGTGCTTTTTCCTGTGGAGTTATTGTTCAAATTTAGGAAGCGACTCGCTAAACTTGAATAATTTCTGTACTCCATTGACTGTCTTATTTCTCCTTCTATAATTCTCTCTTCCTGCCTCCTAACTCCTTAATATTAGCAACCACCCTCTCCAACCAAATAACAACCCTACTGCTCTGGAATATATCTCCCTTATTTATCTGGATAAATATACACCATTCCAAGAAATTGTATTTACAATTCCTTAACCTAGATAAAGAGACTCCATACACAGGTAACAGTTTCCATCTCTCCAAGAGTGACCACACTTGCAATTGCATAACTCTATGTATTCTCTAATAATTGCTGTTTTATCAGGAGAGGATAAGAACCAAAAGAGAGATGGTGCTTCTAAGGATACCCACAAATGAGGACGGTAGGAAAAAGAACTGAAGGGAACTCTGAGGGGAAGGAAAGGAATGACTGTAGTACAGAAGGGGCTAGAGTAGGGTCTCATGAGTGGGGCCATGGGACGATGTGAAGGGAATCTCTCTTTCTCAAATACTCTCTCTTTTAAGATATCCAAGTATCTTACTTTCTGTGGCCACACCAGGATAGCTGAGGGAAAGGACTAATGCCACCATGCCTACTCTACCTTAAGAGACCCTCCGCACTGAAGCCCCACATCAATTCCAGCATTCATTCTCCTTCCTACCAGGAGGACGGTGAAGTTATACATGGAGCTGTGGAAACAAAGCTCTCTCAAATCTGAATATGCACTTTATGAGGAGAGAGAAGAGAAGGGACCGGGAGGAAAGCGAAGATTCCCTAATGACCTCAATCCCTTGTACACCACTAGCTTTTACACTCCAGATTAAACAGTGTTAGGGAGCCAAGAGAAGAAACATGTGGTGCCTGGAGACCTGTGCCTGCCTGTTCCATTCCCACACCCAGTCATCTTGCCACACCCTTCAACTCACTTTACGTCCCTCTCCAACCCAGGAACTAGGATTCTCAGAGGGGGAAGAAAAGGGAGAGGAGGAAGAGGAAACTAACAATTCCCTGCCCAACCCCAAGACCACACCCAGTACAACCAACAGGTAGGCAAGTTCGCAGAGAATACTTGGAGGGAGTCCTGTGAGCAGCAAACAACTCTGAGCTTGAAAAACACTCAGAGAAGGAAGAAGAAGATCAAAGGTGAGGTAGGAGATGGCGAGAAGGGTGGGATATGCAAAAAAGAAAGAAAGAAAAAGTAGAGGATCATGAGGAGGCAGGAAGTAGCAGAGCTTCAGACTTGGGGACAGTGTGGAGGTGGGGGACACAGCACAGATGAGGTAAGAGTTAATATTTCCTGATTCCTTTCAGGGAATTCTTTCTCAGCATTGTAAGGAGAGCACAGGTGTGGCAGGGAGGCACTTTGGTCCTCTTCCTGGTCCTAAGGAGAAGGTGACCTTGAGCCAGTGAGTGTCTTTCCCAGTGACTGCCTCAAACTCTGTTTTTTCCATATCTTCCTCTGGTATCTGTGTTTATTCCGCGGTTTCCCCTGCGGCTGCCTCCCCTGGGAAAATGGAGAGGTTGCTGGGACAGGCCGAAAGCAGAGAAGAGGTTGGGCAATGTCACCCTTTCACACCCACAGAGTAGATGGATCGGGTTTCTGCTTAAACCGAGGGGGTTTGGGGGAAGGGTGTTGGGGTTTCTCTAGTCCCCCCCCGGGTGCTGTCCTCTACTTAGTGCTGAAATCTGGGAGGCCTTATCCCGGGTGGGCACACACAGTCCTGGCCTTAGCGGTGCGACTCTCAGGTCCCCCTAATTACCTGGCCAGTGCTACCCACTCCCGCCCCCGCACACCTAGCGCGTCGGCAGAGGGAAGGCGGCGCCTGTGTGAGCCCCACCCCAGGAGACTGCGGCTCGGGCCTCCTCCTCCTACTCCCGCCCGCCCCTAGCTCATTGCGCCTCTCCTGCAGTCTTGTTGGTACCGGCTTCCACTCCGACTCCAGCCTCCACTCCAACCCCCATTTCAGCTTCTGCCTCGGACCCAGCTTCAGCTCTCAGTCAGTCCAGTTGCATCCTCCCTCCTCGTTCCTGCCTTGGGCCAACTCCTGCTCGCGGATCTCGTGCTCAGACCTCCAAGCCATGGCTGGTCCCTTCTCCCGTCTGCTGTCCACTCGCCCAGGAGTCGGGCTCCTGGCTTTGGCCGGAGCTGGGTCTCTAGCCGCTGGGTTTCTGCTCAGCTCGGAACCTGTACGAGCGGCCAGTGAAAGACGGAGGCTCTATCCCCCGAGGTAGCAATGCCTGCGTCGCGGGGGGCGGGGGTGGGAGGGAAGCGGACGGTGGTGATAGGAATGAAGATAGGGGTAGAGATAAGATCCGGGTAAGAGAAGGGCTATAATCATAAAGGCCCTGGAGCTGTACAATTTGGAGACCTCAGCGGAGTGGGGGTGGGGGCCAAAACTGTAAAGCAAGAGCATTCCTGGGGACCTGTCAAGACCAGCTCAGGCCCTAAGAGTTCTAGCTGCACCCACGGCCCAAATCCCTAATTATAAGGCCAGGAACTATTGTTTTTTGCTCTCCTCCATCTCTGTTTCCTGCTGTTCTTCCCTGAATTTCCTTCCTTAGTCTTTCCCCTCCTCCATCCCTAATGTGTTCATGGGAGGAAAGAACTGAGCAGATCTGGGGAAATTGAGCTGGCAAGCCAGAGGCAGCTAGAACTGTTAGGAAAGAACAGACCCTAAAAGTCCCTAAAGAGATTACTAAGGCTTAGTCTCCCTCCAAGGCTAATTCCCCCTCCACCCAGGAAGCAAAGCCAGACATAGCTAACTGGACAGCTCCCAGCTGTCTGCGTTAGGTCTAGGCCCATGTGCCCTCCCTCCATGGTTACTGGGTACCCCCTCCCCA